TTATGTCGAGATCACGAGAAAATTAAGTCGTTATAACGAGAAAACAACTCTCGTTATGTCGAGATCACGAGAAAATTAAGTCGTTATAACGAGAAAACAACTCTCGTTATGTCGAGATCACGAGAAAATTAAGTCGTTATAACGAGAAAACAACTCTCGTTATGTCGAGATCACGAGAAAATTAAGTCGTTATAACGAGAAAACAACTCTCGTTATGTCGAGATCACGAGAAAATTAAGTCGTTATAACGAGAAAACAACTCTCGTTATGTCGATATAACGAGAAAATAAGTCGTTATAACGAGAAAACAACTCTCGTTATGTCGATATAACGAGAAAATAAGTCGTTATAACGAGAAAACAAGAAGGGGGAAAAAAAATAATGCATGGCCGCTTAGAACTTCCGTACTACAGTACTTAGGCACAAATGCAAACATGGGCAGGTGTAATGAACTCATCCTCAAAGACTGTTAGCAAAACTGTACAAGGGTTTAAACATAAATAATGCAATACATTTTTAACTTAAATTGAATGAATATTTTGTATATTTTTACAATTATTTCATAACAATAATATTTATACACATTTATAATTTGTACTACAGTACTTAGGCACAAATGCAAACATGGGCAGGTGTAATGAACTCATCCTCAAAGACTGTTAGCAAAACTGTACAAGGGTTTAAACATAAATAATGCAATACATTTTTAACTTAAATTGAATGAATATTTTGTATATTTTTACAATTATTTCATAACAATAATATTTATACACATTTATAATTTACGCTTAAAATATACATTTTGCCTATAAATATATATATATATGTGTATATATATTTATTTACAAGGCTGTTAAATATAATATGTTTCTCTGTAAATATTAAGATACTCATAAAACATTTTAATAATTTACAATACTGTTTACATTAATAAAAAGTTAAATAAATTAAAATATTTTTTTGAACTTAAGATAAATTTGAACCAATTAGCAGATTTTTCCTGTAGTATTTTTAGATTCTTTTTCTGTTTACATTTCTTACATATTTGGTCACATTAGCAAAAATGTGCAGGCAAAAAAGAAAAATTTTCCATAGTGTAGAGATGTATGACAGCTTTCTGTTGGTCGGCACGATGAGTGAAATCTCCGTGAGGAACTTCTTCGCCGTTGAAACTCCTAATCGCTGGGATTCCTATTGAAATGACTGTAATTTGCCTGCAAAATTTCACAGCGTAATTTCACATTACATTAATTTGACCACACATTAATGTAAGCGTGTAATTAGAAATCAGGTCATTTTTCAACTAATTCTTCCTATAAAATAAATATGATCCAGACTACATTAAATACGTGTTCACTTATATACACATTTGTGCTGACCATAATGTAGGCCTATTTTATGTATTGAATGTCTAGTGTGAAATCTGGGTCCTATCAATCATTGTAGAAAAGTGGATGATCTTGATATAGTTTCACTTGTCCATATTATTCCTTGTGATAAACTCTAATGACTTAAACCATAAGGTCTTCACTGATTTGACTCACTTCTTCTCAAAAGTCTTAACAGATTTATCTGCCCACAAATGGAAATAATATGACCTTTAGAAGCCATTATCTAATGCCACAGAGTGCCAGCATTTTCATTGCGTATATCAAGTTATTTTACCACTGACTGGAAAACTAAAGAAAGAATTTGTGTTGGCTGATGTGTTTTACTGATCCTACACTTCCTTTATCAACCTCCATCAGGAAGTTGCTGAAGAAAGTTCCCCCTGACCTCCAAGAGCGGCTATGCAGTCTTGCCTCTAGAGTTGAAGAACATGTGAATGGAGCAGTTGGACCATGTGGTCAGATGATAACGTTGTCACTCCCAAAACAGTTTTGTGTGATCAGCTGTAGGGAATAGTCACATTTAGATTTCATTTGATTTGGACATTCTCTTTGGTCCTTCACAGGAGGCTTTTCGGACACTTATGCAGCTTTATGTGACTTCAATGAGTTCCCTTGCTGTATGGAAGTTCAGTGGGTCTGTGGTAATCACAACTAATAAGAATCAAATTGTCAAAGGATAAGCGATGGTGGTTTTAAGAACTTGTTGCTCCTGTGGTTTCTAGGACGTCGATAACATTTACCATGTTCAGAACTGTCGGGTTTTCAACCTCATTGACTTCAGTCATTTAGACAGCAGGTAGATACAATGACTTTTACCTCTAAATAAGAAATGAATTTTTAATATGTAAAATGACATTTTATATATACATTTATATAATATACACCATATATAAATGTATTTATATAATTTAAATATATGTGTATAAAACATTAATTCACCGCCATTAAAAAGTTTAGTGTCTGTAAGATAAAAAACATAAAAAAAACACTTTATTCTCACCAAAGCTGCATTTTTTAAATTAAAAATACAGTAAAAACAGTAATATTATGAAATATTATTACAATTTAAAATCACTGTTTCCTGTCACATGATCCTTCAGAAATTATTTTAATATGCTGATCTGGTGCTTAAGAAACATTTCTTATTATTATCATTTAATAATCATATTATGTTGGCAACAGCTGTGTTGCTTAAATCCTTTGAATAGAAAGTTCAAAAGAACAGCTATATATATATATATAAATAAAATAAATTATATAAATTATTATATTATATTTATTTATATAAATAATATATAATATAATAGTATGAATAGAAAGTTAAAAAGAACAGTATTTATTTGATATAGAATTTTTTTGTAACATTATAAATGCCTTTACTCCCACTTTTGATCCATTGAATTCACCTTTAAGTAAAATGATTTTGTAAATAACAAAAAAAAAATACTGTTTTCATTGGAAAACTGAAAAGAAAAGAAAACTTAATAGTACTTCGGTGACAAAAACAAAAAAAATCTACGAACAAATAGTGACAACGCAGCACTAACCCAAACGTGTCACTCGTGTCAACTGGCCCGAAACGTCCTTAACACTTGCCCGCGGACTTATTGTTGATCATTGTATGGGTGTGTAATATATAGATCAATTTCAATTTCAGTGTCCTGCTGTGTTATAGAAGGGAATGGAATCAATGATGCATTTCAGTACATTCAGTACAGAAACTTTTTGTTTCGAGGGACTATAAATGTTGTTTGCAGTCATTGAATATTATTTGTGATTACAGAAGCCATGTCTTGGTTTCGCATGGCTGCATATGTCTGCCTGTATGTCTGATAGGTTTTATTCATCACCAGCATTGCAAAATCTAGCAAAAAATAATAAATAGAGTTGAACACTTGGGGCGGCTTTGAAATAACATGCTTGTCTGTCTCTTTTTAGAGCCTCTTTAAGTTCCTATCTGCTCCAAATGCAGTTTCTCACCTGGACCTCAGCTACGCAGATTGCCCTCTAGACACAGTGAGTCACATCAGTTATATTCTGCAACTTGTTTGATTGCTTATTTTGTAGTGTAAAATCAATTAGGGATATTAGGATATGTCATATATGAATTATTTATCCAATGTCAAAGCTAGCCGTAAACCAGCTTGATTTTTTTTCACTAAACGTATCTAGAGTACCTTTGACCTTTCTCTGTCTATTTCTGTTTCTCTCTAGTTGTTTGTGTCTCTGTCTGCGGGCTGCTGCACTACTCTGAGCTACCTCAACCTCTCCAGGAACACTTTTTCTCATAGGTGAGCCATCAAAAGTGACATTATGGATTAAAAGCATCTCTACACAGGCTGCGTGTACATACTGATCTGTGTGACTGTGCTAGGAAAGTACGAGAGGTCACACGCAGTGTGAGGGATTTCTTCAGCAAGAGCACTGTGTTAAAATACGTGGGATTGTCTGGAACTAAACTACCTCCAGAAGCTCTCAGGTATGGGGTTTGTGCCAATTTTAGCATAAATGTGTGTGTTACAAGCTTGAATATATCTCCTGTGATGATGGCCTTATGGCCAAAATATCTGTAATGAGTTTTGTATACCGTAACATTAAAAAATTTGGGGTCAGTAAGATTTTTTTTTAAATATATTGAAAACAGTAATATTGTAAAATATGATTAAAATATGAAAAATAGCTCTTTTCTATTTTAATTAGTGCTGTCAAACGATTAATCGCGATTAATAGCATCCAAAATAAAAGTTTTTGTTTGCATAATATATGAGTGTGTACTGTGTATATTTGTGTTTATATAAATACAAACACATGCGTGTATATATTTAAGAAAAATATGTTATGTTTATATATTAAATATATTTATATATAATATAATAATATAAATATGTAAATGTATATACATGTAAATATTTTCTAAATATATACTGTATGTTTGTGTATTTATATATACATAATAAATAAACACAGTACACATACATATATTATGTAAACAAAAACATTTATTTTGGATGCGATTAATCATTTGACAGCACTAATTAAAAAAAAACTAATATTTTAAAATGTATTCTAGTAATGCCAAGGTCAATTTTCAGCAGCCATTACTCCAGTCTTCAGTGTCACATGATCAGAAATCATTCAAAAATGCTGATTTGGTGCTCAAGAAACATTTCCTGTTATTATCAATGTTGAAAACAGTTGTGCTGTTGGAAAACTTTATTATTTATTTATTTACTTTTTAAATAGAAAGTTGAAAATATCATCTTTATCATCAACATCATCAACATATTTTGTTCTTATCTCATTATTAATGCCCAGTGTAAATGGTGTTTAGATTGTTACTACAGGGCTTGGCCACCAACACTCATCTATCTGAGCTGGAGCTTGACATCAGCTGCTGTGAGGTACAGACTCACACACCCACATTTACACATCAAAGAATTATATCAATCTTTTCTTAAAACTGTGTGTGTGATTTTGTACTCTGTGTTACTGTAGCTGAGGTCGGCTGGAGCTCAGGTAATTCAGGAACACATCTTTGAGGCCAAGGCCATCTGCAGTCTGGACCTGTCTGACAACGGTACCGTCTCTGATTTTATTCTCTCTTCCATGCGGCCGGCACTTTATTAACCTCCCTTCATACCTTCCTCTTTATTTCTGTCAGATTTATTATATTGCTCTCAATGACTATCTCTTGCACAACAGCACTAGAGGGGTTACAGGGTCTCTCCTCACATCTGGTTATAAATAATATCTGACTGATACATGGAGAGATGGAGGCATACATTAATCTACCTCACTGTGTGTGTGTGTGTGTTTGTCCTCCTGCTGCTTAGAAAACCTCTTTTCACAAGATTAGTAAGACGAGGCAGGGGGCTGTTGTGTACATCTGTATAAATGACCTGGTGATATTTACCACATTTTTGGCATAGATTTTTATGGAAAATCTGTGGAATGGATTTAAACTGTTATAATAACATATTCTAAGTAACCACACATGATGCGATAAAGCGATAAACAATAAAAGCATCAAATCAGAAAATAGAATCAGAGTTTAGTCTTAATCAGGACAAACAGCCATCTTTTGGTTTCTGTTTGTGTTGCTGGGTAGCCACGCCCACTGTGAAATCTCATTGGTCCAAAATTCCACTCTTCCTACCACAATAAATATCAGATATGTACTATCAAATATGTTTTCTCCCCTGACAATTCCTAACTGCTCAAATACTGTGCATGTTAATTAAGAATTGAGTTGTGCTGTTGGAAAACTTTATTATTTATTTATTTACTTTTTAAATAGAAAGTTGAAAATATCATCTTTATCATCAACATCATCAACATATTTTGTTCTTATCTCATTATTAATGCCCAGTGTAAATGGTGTTTAGATTGTTACTACAGGGCTTGGCCACCAACACTCATCTATCTGAGCTGGAGCTTGACATCAGCTGCTGTGAGGTACAGACTCACACACCCACATTTACACATCAAAGAATTATATCAATCTTTTCTTAAAACTGTGTGTGTGATTTTGTACTCTGTGTTACTGTAGCTGAGGTCGGCTGGAGCTCAGGTAATTCAGGAACACATCTTTGAGGCCAAGGCCATCTGCAGTCTGGACCTGTCTGACAACGGTACCGTCTCTGATTTTATTCTCTCTTCCATGCGGCCGGCACTTTATTAACCTCCCTTCATACCTTCCTCTTTATTTCTGTCAGATTTATTATATTGCTCTCAATGACTATCTCTTGCACAACAGCACTAGAGGGGTTACAGGGTCTCTCCTCACATCTGGTTATAAATAATATCTGACTGATACATGGAGAGATGGAGGCATACATTAATCTACCTCACTGTGTGTGTGTGTTTGTCCTCCTGCTGCTTAGAAAACCTCTTTTCACAAGATTAGTAAGACGAGGCAGGGGGCTGTTGTGTACATCTGTATAAATGACCTGGTGATATTTACCACATTTTTGGCATAGATTTTTATGGAGAATCTGTGGAATGGATTTAAACTGTTATAATAACATATTCTAAGTAACCACACATGATGCGATAAAGCGATAAACAATAAAAGCATCAAATCAGAAAATAGAATCAGAGTTTAGTCTTAATCAGGACAAACAGCCATCTTTTGGTTTCTGTTTGTGTTGCTGGGTAGCCACGCCCACTCTAAAATCTCATTGGTCCAAAATTCCACTCTTCCTACCACAATAAATATCAGATATGTACTATCAAATATGTTTTTCCCCTGACAATTCCTAACTGCTCCAATACTGTGCATGTTAATTAAGAATTGATGTAAATATGTTTTGCAAAGTACAAGCTTTACATTTCTGCTTTTAAGCCCTCCTTTTGCCACATTTTAAGTGTTTTTATTACTGTACGTGGTTTTACTTTTTTTTTTTTTCCCCAAACTGGGACACAAGGAAATTTCTTCCTTTGT